GGTCCCTGGGGTGGGGGATGCCCCATCTAGAGTCCTTTGGAGGTGATCTGTTCAGGAACACCTGACAGAGGGCTGTCACCCTTAGCTCCATAGAAGATATCAGACGAGATTCCATTCATCCTCAGCTTCTTTGTCTACGTCCTCCTGCCTCACATTCCCCCTCTGCAGGGAGATCCTAAGGCTGAAATTCCAGGTTATGCAAGGTATGAGTTTTTTAAATATTCTGAATGTTCTTTTTTAAAAAAATTCATCGCAGTAAGAGACATATTGCCATTCATCCCCCTCAAAATACCTCCCTTCACTTCAGACACATTTATTTCATCATGGTCACCACTTTCTGGAGCAGTTTTGGACATCTTCTTTCATGAGAGTCTTTAGTTCCTCTATCATAGATGCCTCAGTTTCCTGAAGTGATCTAAACATTTACATTTCATGGTCATGTTGACTGTAGGGATGGATCAGATCTGTGGATAGGGTGGGTAAGAACACACTGCAGTGGTTCTGTGGGCCTGCATTTCCACTGGTTAGCACTGGGCAGCAGGATTCACTGTATTTTTATCACACCTTGTAAAGACACTTGGGAAAGAGGATTTCCAGAACTGTTTCAGAAAGTGTCAAGAAAGATGAGATAAGTGTATCTGAAGCAGGGAGAGGGGACTTCAGGGGAACTAACGGCAATGTGTCTTCCACCGAAAGCATACCTTTGTGGTGTTCCTCGTGTTCCTAGTCAGGGAAGCCTCATCCTACTGGCCAAAGAAAGCACTCCAGACATGGTGACACAGGTACCTGGCTCTGTGCTGGAAACCAAGGGGTACTGGAGCTCCCCCTAACTAACCTGGAAGTCCACCTAAGAGTTGTCTTGGGGTTCATCATATCTTCATATTAACTTCAACAGACTGCTCTTGACAGCTGAACAGTCCACCACCCAACAGGAAAGGGGCTTTGAACCAGACCCTAGTGCACTGATGGACAGGACAGATGGCCAGAGTTGCCCACCCAGCATCACTGATACCTCCTCATCCAGTTTGCAAGTGACACAGAATTTTATGAGATGCCAGGAATGCTGAGGAAAAGAGGCTTGGGTCTGTCCGGGATATTCGCTCTCTGGTAAAGTTAACCCATCCTCAAGAGAGCAAACCCCTGACTTAGGTTTCATCATTACCTCATACAGCTCACAAAATTAACCACTCCAATCCTCTCCAAGAGGAAGCGCTTGAGGCAGTGAGAAATTTAATGGATTTCAGGAAGAAGGCCTCCATTCTCCACCCTTACCACTGACAACTTTTCACACTTTACTGAGAGAACCATGTGAGCTATTAGCAGGTCATTTGACCCACTCTCCTTAAAACCTCTCTAGAAAACAACTCTAATAGCTCCCAGAATAGAACACGATCTGGGACTCTTCCTGACCACTGTCTGTCAGGCAGCTTCGCAAGCTGTAGCTGCTTCCCAGCATGTCTGTGTCTTCCCCGGGAGCCTCCAGCTCCAGCTCTGCATTCTCCAGCTCCGGACTGTACTCCACAACTACTCTATTTGGTGGGAGCCTGTGCCATGTCACACGAGGCATGTGGGGAATGAAGATTCTGCCCTCAGGATCTTCTCAACTAGTAAGGGATACAAGACACATCTAATCACTATTGTGTAGGGTAGAAAGTAATTCACAAACACCAAGATCCCATCATTCAGATGCACTGGGTATGCAGCAAAGAGACCGACAGCCTATCTTAGCATGGGCCAAATAAGCATTAACCCCAGTTGGTGAGCTATTGTTCAGGGCCTGCCATGAGCCAGGCTGTGTGCCAGGGATTTCCTCACCTCATTTCCTCTTAGGAGCATTCTGTTTGGTAAGTGATATTATCCCCTTTGTGTGTGTGTGTGTGTGTGTGTGTGTGTTACTGGGCACCAAATCCATGCAGGCACTACCATTGAGTGAAATCCCTAGCCTTTTTGAATTTCTTATTTTGAGACAGTGTCTAACTAGGTTGCCTCAGCTGGCCCTGACCTTGTCATCCTCCTGACTCTGCCTCCCAAGTCTTTGGCTTTACAGACAGGCACCACCTGGCCCAGGTGGTATCCCAACTCTACTAGAAATGGCCACAGGCTCAGTGACATCGGGTGACTCTCCCAAGGTCACTCAAATGATGTGTGGCAAAAACTGGATTCAAACACAAGAACCACCTGACTTTTGATCCCTTGACATTCATTATTAGTATTTCGTGGCAATATTTTCCTTCTGTGCAGCTGTGACTGATTTGTTTCCAAATTGCAGTTCATCAATTTGGACCCAGGCTGGTGAGCAACAAGGTACCCATTGCTAGTCCACAATGAAGACACACAGAGCCATCACTGACACAACCCACAATGTAGGATTGAGGCTTAGATCTGTCCCTACCTTTCCCCGATGTCCTCTGACATAAACTGTGATCCATATTTCTCCTTTCCAATGGAATGGGAAAATAAAAGAGTACAAAAGAGGAAATAAAATGGCTTCCAAATATAGGGGCACCCACTCCCCTTCCTTGCAGATTCTTCCAACAGGGCCAGGTTCACATGGGCACATGCAAAGTTGAGAGTCCACAATGGCTTCCAAACCAAGAACATTGTCCTCCCTCCCTCTGGCATTTGCCTTAACCCAAAGAAACACTTTAATGGCTTTTGTTTCTTTCTTTTCAGACTGTGAGGGGCAGAATTCTGGATTCTCACAGCTTAAGAAAGGCTTCAGGATAAAGCCTGAGTTGGTGTGTGCGGGCAGACCTATGCCCTCAGCTCACCTCTGCTGCCCCATCTGCCCCAAGGCCCAGGGGGACTCTGGGCCATCCTTTGAAACTCAGCTCAGACATCTCCTCCCAAAAGCCTCCTTAGACCATGCTCCAGGAGCACGTGTGCACAGATGGACACTCACTAGCGCCCTGCCCGGGCCCCTGTACCTTTGACCGTGGCCTTGGCATAGTTGTGCCCATGGTTTCCCAGGACCCCTTTTGTCTCCATGAGCCATGACAAGATGCCCACTATTCCCAACACTGAGTTTAGTGCAGGAACCCTTGCAGAACAAACCCTTGCAGAAGGGAAAGACAGACGGAGGGAGGAGAAGACTGTACGCAGACTCTCAGCCTACAGCCAGCCTTCCTTAGCTCACACTTGCCCTGGACCTGGTGAAATTCTCTGAGTCGAGGGTGCCAAGGGGCAAGGGGTGAGGCCTGAGGAAACACAGGCTGGAGGGAAGGATACTCTCTGAAAACACAGGGAAGATGTGAGCAGGAGCTCAGGGTCCCAGTGGGGAAGATCAGAACCACCATTTTGGAATACATGCAGAGCACAGCGGGGCAGCAAGAGCGACTCAGCTGCCAGCTCACCCCACAGGTGGCCTTGGACCTGCAGGGTAGGGCCAGCTTCCTCTGATCCCCATGTACCGGACTCGCGGAGGAAGGAAATTCCATGTTGTAATGCCTGGACTTCTTCCCTTCATTCCTAATCCATGACTAGGTGGCCTATTGGGCCTTCAAGAAACCATTTAGGCAGATCTCAAAAACATCAGAGCTCTTTTCTGCCAGTGTACAAGTAGAGAAAAATGAAACAGGACAAAGAGTTCTGGACCACATCACGTCATCTTTATTACCAAAAATGTTGTCAACCTAACTTAGGACTGGGAAGTAAAATGCATAAACGCCTTTCCTCTCACAGTATTGTAACCAGGTTGGAACAGAGCTGGATTCACTTTAAAATGCAGCCTTTAAAATCCATCTGGGTGGCTGCAGCTGTGTTATCTAGCTGTACACATGTGGATCTGAGTAGACCAAAAAAATAGTTCCCGGTATCTGAGGAGCCAGTGCTTTTAAACAAGTACTGCTCAAAGAACAAATGCTTTGCATAGATACAGTGCGTGAATCTGGAAAAAAATAAAAATCAGTAGCAGATCAGCAGCTCTGAGCAGCAGACTAGAGAATTTGGCTGGCATGTGTCAGAGATACGGTTGTAAAATGTTCACTATTCCATTTCTTTCTCATTTCCTGCACTGCTAGTGACAGGAGGAATCAAGAATCACCTTTACACTACATTTGCACATTTTTTAGTCACCTAAAGGAAAAAAGTCATGCTTTTCTTCATTTTATTTCTTCTTCCCAAAGAATCTGATTTTTGTGGAAACAAATTTATTCTCTCCTTTCACCGCAAGGATACAATCTCTCATTCAATCTGCTCGGCCTCAGTTTAGTTCCACCTTGAGACTTTATTTCATTTCCAGACATGTACAGAGTGGTTGGTATCCTTGCACTACTTCTCACTGTTGGGCAGAATTGCTTGGCAAGGTAGAAGCCTGCTGGAAAAATAAACCGATTACTTTTCTCTCTCCATATGCCCCTTAGGTAGGTAAAACACTGCTTCTAGAATCAAGTTTCAAAATCATAAAGAATCAGTTGGACTAAAGCACAAGAATATTTTGTTATGTTTCTAATCATGTTAATATGCAACTAGAAAACTTTAAATAAATGCTAAGATTTTCCCATTTAGTTATTTGCTTTCAGATATAGAATACAAAATGTGGCAGTAAGTTAACATTCTTTGTTTCCAAGATTTCATTAACATTTCAAAGACTGAGGCAGAGAGATTTCTATCATGCAGCACCTTACACAATCCTGTATCGTGGAAGGAGGCTCAAGCCAAAGAAAGAAGACTACAACCTAACTAGAAAGGTCTCACATCCTTTCGCTTCACAAGCTTGGTACCCTACAGCCTGAAGAGAATCAATGAGCAGCCTGTGAAACGCCCTCAGCTCCAGCTCTGACTCATTTTGATTGAAAAATGTGGCTTTGGCTCAGGCCATCTGCTGTCACGGTGGCCCAAGGTTGTCTTTCATTTGGAAACCACGCTGTCATCTTGGTTTAGAATATACAGGCAGTAGCATATGCTTCTCCTCGCTGCCCAGAGAGATGCTGGCGTGGAGACACGCAAAGGCTCCTGACTGAGACTTTGCTTATGAATTCTCGTCTTCTTTTCTCTCCTAGTTACCGTGACGGTGGGAGGCAAGCAACACTTGCTCGGACTATATGACACAGCAGGACAGGTATATTTTTATCATCTTGATTCGTTAAGGGTCCAAGGTGGTGTATAAAAGGAAACAATGACCTTGGTTTGTCATGTGGGAACCAGCACCATACACACTGCCCATTCTCATTCTTTGGGGACTATTTATCTACCTAAATGATAGCCACTCTTAATATTTTTTTGAAATTTTGTAAATAATAAAAAACTAAATCTTTATATTATCCAAGCAATTGATAACGACTTATTCATTGACCATCAACCATTAGTAACCAAAATTGCTAGGCATGTGGCACAAGCCCATGATCTCACCACTTTGGGAGTCCGAAGTAGGAGGATTACAAGTTTAAGTCCAGTGCAGGCAACGTAGCAACTTAAGAGTTTTTTTTTAAATGCCTGGGATGTAGCTCAGTGTAGAACAACACTGGTTTCAATCCCTAGTACCACAAAATAATAATATAACAACCAAAATAATTATTTATGTATTTATTTATTTATTTGGTTTGTTTATTTGTTTTTAAGATAGGGTCTGGCTGTGTAGTCCCTGAACTCACTATGTAGCCCAAGCTTCAAACTTGCAGTGATCCTCCTGCCTCAGCCTCCAAAGCTCTGGGATTACAGGTGTGCACCACCATGCCTGGCTTCAAAATAGTTTATTTGACCAAGGGTTTCAATCTCATCCCGTCCAAACCCATGCCCAATCAAGGATTAAGAGGCCAACATTATAAACTTTGGTTTCTCTCATTTTTTGCACGTTACTTTCTTTGTCCATCATTTGAGTTGCCTAATGTACTATGCAAAGGCCTCAAATGAGACTGGTAGGAGAGGGGAGAGGGAAATGATGGATGAAATGAAGGAAAACTAAGATTTTAGGTATTTTCCAAAAGTGGTGATCAACCTCTGAATAAGTGGGAGTTAACTAAATTCTCTAAGATTCTCCAAGTGTTCTTACTTGGTCAGAAATATTTCTTCAAACTGGAGAACTCGGCAAGTCGATAATGTAGGGTGTGGAGTAGCATTCCCAACACTTCACTCATTACCACAGCTCCACAGGGGTGAAAATGCTGCCTTAACTCTCTTTCCTATTCCCACACACATCAGTGTAAAAAGTTCCTAACATTATAATCCCAGCGGTCGAAGGGGTTGGCCAGGCAATGGATGGCAAGTGTCTAATTTCTTGGGTACAGATGGTTGCCATAACATCTGGGGTCATTTATTCAGATCAGAGTCAGTAGATTGTTCAAATCTGTTCATATACTGTAAGCCCTGCAGAGGGACCATTTGACCACACTATTTCCCTCTCCGAGTTTCCTGATAATTGCTACTGGTTGTATATTTGTCTAGGCCTTTTTTATAATTACCTGGAAATATACCCTTTTGCTCAGCTTGGATGATCTCTACTAGAAAATACATAAATGTAATGTCTTTGAAGATTTCTGTGTGCATTTGTAGAGCTCTCTGTCTGAATGTGGGCTGTCGAAGGCTAGTCCTGTACGCAGGATCTGGAAAACCTAGCATTTGACTCAGGGCTCTTAGAAGCGCCCAATTTCCTCTCCTGGGAAGACATCTGCTGAGGCAAGCACTTCAGAAGCTAGGGAACAGATGCAAACTCTGACATCAATAGCAATGCCCCTAACAAGCAAAGGATGTGCCCCTACTCAGGTGCGCAAATGGGGAGATCTGTTTGGCTTCTCAGTACTGTTTGTATCCTCCACCAAGAAGCATTCCACCAATGGAGATACATTGGGGGCCGAAACTGCCAAAGCTAATCCAGTCACATAGTTTGTTTGGGGTGTCCCCTTTCTTCAGGAGCTCAGAGCCTAAGAGTTTATTCCCTCATGGTCAAATTTTATAAATATACTCCAGTTTGAAAATCTCAGTACACAGGGATTATTCCATAACTGAAACCCTTCCACGGTCCCTGGCCTCCTAAAAAAGCTCTGCCCCTGCCCCCATGGGCATTCTATTTTTCCCCTCTTCCGCAGCCATGCCTGATGACAGCGGTGAGTGAGCTCCTGTGCATTAACTGCCCCAAGAACACCTCCCATAGGCCTCTATCTCATTTCAAATCCAATAAAACTACTTAAAAGCTCTTGTAGAGTTTAATTATTCTTTCCCACTTGCTCGGTTCTTTTTTTAATTATTTAAATAATGCTAGTGTTGGGCCAAGGAGGTAGCTCAGCAGCACAGTGCCTGCCTGACAATCACAACATGGCCCTGAGTTTGATCTCTGGTACCCACTGAAATAAATAAGTAAATAATGCTAGTGTAAGCATTAAGCTATGAGAGTATTGTAAAAAATGTCTTTAAACTCTGAACTGAAGTAAGTAGGAGACCCAAACCTTTGACACAGAAGTGACAAATGCTAGCCAAATATGATAAATGGGTTCTGGAAATTTCCTCAACTTAACTGTCTTAGTTACTTTATCTCATCACTGAGACAAAATACCTGATGCCCAAGTTGGGAAAGGAAAGGTTTATTTCTTACAGTTTTTGGAGGTTTCAGTCCACACTCAGTTGGCTCCAAGACAGGCAGGCATGGCTGACCTGCAGTTCATGGTGGCTACAAACAGCAAGCTCAAACCAGCAAAGAGAGCAAGACGCACCTTACTTTGAGAACCACTGTGTTAGAAAATTGCCATTTGAAGTGTGACCCACTCTCCGGCACCATGGGCTCCCCAGGAAGAAATGCAGACCGAGTCCTCTGAATCTGAAAACCGACTTTAAGAAGATCCCCAGCTGTTTTGAGAAGCACTACTCTAAGAAGCCTTTGTTGGGTCCTGCATTATCCCCAAAGTTATGAGGTGCAGTGGAAAAAAGCTATTATGAAATAGAATCTAAATAATAGCTATTTTTTGCAAAAATTTTAATTTAGAGCCCCTGTCCCAAACGTTCCATCCCAATCCTAGCCCTTTGTTATATTCTCATGACTGTTTCTGAGGTCACACAGCTAAAGAATGTCTGTAACTAACTCAAAATTACTCATTTAGCCAAATGTTAGAAAGAAAGAAAGAAAGAAAGAAAGAAAGAAAGAAAGATGACCTCAAAACCAGTTGATAATCCTTGAACTACAAAAAAAGGAACTAAGTCTTTGAATATGACTCTAGAGTTCGCTCTTGCTTGAATAATTAGATTCTCTTACATGAATAAACCAAAGAGCAACACCCTTAGCTTTGTCATCAGCTAATTGTGAGTTAGGGCTGACAAAAACAACCTCATGAAGCAAATGAATTTTGAAAGGTAGTGACAAGAACTCATTATCTAAAAAAAGGTCAACCCTGAGCAAAATCATTTGACCCGGTTCTCGAATCTTGACGTACAACTCTGCCTTGGACAGGGCTGCAGCAAAGGCCTGGCTTGAGACACCCCCGCCACTTCACAGTTCAGCCAAGCATTTGCTAAGGGCAGCTTGTGATGAAGCTACACGTGTGCACTGCCAGCACATGGCAGCTGCTGTTAGACATTAGCTCCCTCCCCAAGCCCCGGAAACACGACTAACATCTGGAGGTGGAGACATCTTTTAAAGATAAAGAGCCTTCAGAACTCTGGCTCCTCTGTTGGGTAGAATCCCAGATACGAGCTTAGTCGTGAAATGAGGGACCTGCCCCCATCCTTTCCGGATCACACCAGGTAAGCACGGGCTAGACCTCCAGCCAAGTCCTCGTGGGTCATCCAACTCAGCCTGCACACCAAGGCTGCTGTGGTACATCGATGATAGTCTCCTGGTAAAAAATGTCCAGAGCACCGCTCTTTGGCTCAGGTACAGAAAGAGTGGCAGAGCTGACTTTGCAGTGACACAGCCCTCACTGGCCAGCTTGTTTTGAGTGCACCAGGAGAGGATGCTGGCGATCCATCGCCACACTGGGAGAGGGGTCTTTCCTGAGTTAGGGGTTCCAGCCAGGAATCCTCCCCGCCGCTGGCAACCATGCTAAGACACCTCATCTCCTTCCCTGTGTACACCCTCGCCCAGAACAGAGATGTGAGCAAACCCCACTCCAGTCCTGCCTGTCTGGCTGCACTCCAGGTGGCCACACCTCAAAGGCAGCAGTCCCCGAAGAGGGCTGTCATCGAAGCACTGCCAGAGGAGTGTGGTCAGCCCAGCAGTCCTCTCTGGGGGTAAACCCTGCACTCTGCACCTCAGAGACTTGGGGCCACCTGCATGAAAGCAGCACGTCTTGGTGTCTGTCCTCGAGAAACCGCAGCAGCCTAGCTGCCACCAGCAACCTAGGTAACATGAAGGCCATCTGCACTCTGTCACAGGGTGGCAAACCCATGTCTCCTCCAGGACCCCCAGAAGACAAAGAAGCCTGCAAGCATGGACAGCTGGGTCTCCTTAGTGGCAATCCAGGTCCACTTGGAAGTCTTCTGCTGCTGGCTGACATAGCAGGACCATCTGGAGTGCAGGATCTGGCATTAGCCTCCCATGAAGAGTCCACCCAAACCCTCAGAACAAAAGTTTCCCCCACAAGCCTCTGACCTTCCCGCTCACGTGTATCTCCATGTGGCTCCCAGGAGTGCGTGGACTGGAGGGACTGAGAGGAGTCTGTCCACACCACAGGTTATCTGTGAAAGGGACCTTAAGATCCAAGCTTCTCCCCAAATTTTTAAAAAAGGAGCTGAAGGGGCACTGACCAAGAGAGGAAGTCAGGGTAAGCAAACATTTGGTTCACACTGTTGCCTGGTTCAGAAAAAGTTAATTTCAAAGTCAGCCCTGGTATCCTATCAGGCACCAGGATTTACAGCTGTTGCCAACTGGGGTGTAGCAGGACTTGTTTACTAGGTCATTAAAGCACTCAGGGCATTGCAGACACTGTCCAAAGAAGTCTACAAGTATTAACACAGTTTATTCCCACAACACCCCTGTGAGACTGGCACTATTCTCAGTTACAGATAAGGAAACTGAGGCAGACAGAATTTACCCAAGATTGCAGCAGAGTTCCAGGCAAGATGCAGATTCCATACATGGAATCATTTCATGTATTTTCATTTAAAAATCTTTCTCCAATTTGATTGCCAGTATTTATTCGCCTTGGATAGTTCATGTCAGCAAACCATGGCCTGCCTGACTTTTCCATAATGTAAGTAGAATTTCCTTCACAGTTGCTGGGTAGAGAATCAAACAAACATGAGCCTTTCAGACTCGTTATTTGTTGCTGCCTTTTGCAGTTCCGTCATTTCTCCGGATTGTTTTCCGTGTTCTGGACTTTCAGGTTTTCAATATACAGTGTTTGCTGCCATCCTGTGGTGATTTCAAGCAGATGCCAGCTTCCGATGGTCTCCCTTTCCCAGATCCCTGGGTAATACCTGTGTCTTCAAAGATACCTGCCTGGATAACTGAGTTCAAATAAATGCTGCTCCGTCCCTTAGATCCGAGCAACGGCCCATTGTATAGTCACAGTTAAGAGATAGGTCTGGGTGCAGGTATTTGGTGTCTGCTTTCTAATAACTGTATCCTTGGCCCATTAGGAAAGTCCTCTAACTCTCAGCTTCTCTTCTGTGAGATTTGGAGGGTAACAGTGCCATCTTTCTAGTGTCATCTCTCCAGAGTCTTTGTGCAAATTCCACAAGGTGGTGGTGCGTACAGAAGCTTTAAACCAAGGCACCCAGACTTTGACTTCCCTCACCACCTTAAGTAAAGAAGATTTGTCATGGGTTGCATGTAAAACATGGAATAGAGTTGATCTAGGTGGGCCCACTGAGGGGGCGCAAGGGAGATTTTTCTCAGGTGAGGTCTGCAGCTTAAAGAGCACACATGTGCAAAACATCAACAATGCAGGCAGCATGGATCAGAGCAGAGAACGCAAGAGCAAGAGCCACCTGCGTCTTTATTGTACAATTCTTATACAGGTCATTATCTCACGTTTACATTCTTACATGGTGCTGTAACCAGCGCATGTGCGTTTGCCTGTGCTAAGACGTGGTTATGTTGCTGTGCCCCACTGTGCACCCATGATAGGCAAGCGAGTCACATCCTCAGCTGTTCTTAGGTTCCCATAAGCTTTGAAGCAGTCTGAGTGATTCCCACAATCTACATAAGTAACAAAGCTTTCTTCCTTTTTTATACGTTAACTTATTAAATTATTCTATGAAACAACACAAGCTCAAGTTTACTAAAGAAGAAAATGTGCAAGACTGCTTAGTAATAATAAATGCCTGCCTTCACAAGTGCACACATGTGCAAGTAGATCCAATCCCCAGTATGAGAAAAATGACATAATAATGTTAAAAACTTATGATCATGTTGCAGCCATGTTTCTGTCACACACAGCCTCCATCAGCCCATGAGTCCATGCTTAATTCTTAGTAATAGGTCTTGGACACATCCTCAGTTGATGGGGATGATACAAACCACCTGTTCTCAACTCTGAGCCCACACAGGATTCCCAGATGGCCAGGCACACTCTCCAGAGACTCTGATTTTATTGATCCCAGAGTATGGAAGGAGTTGGGGCAGGTAGTCAGTTATCTGGGCATGGAGGTATTTTTGAAGCTCTTCAGTAATTGTAATAGAAGTTTCTGTAGTAAATGGCTCCAGAAGAGATGTCACTGTAGAGACACTGGAGATCACTGTAGTCTCCATTTCTTCTAGTGAGTCAACGATATTCACAGAATATTCTCTGTGAACAGAGTACAGGTGGGAATGAGAGAAAAATCAGACTGGTCCCTGATCCTCCTGTGATGATCCAGGTGGGAGGACCAAGTGGCAGGGGACAGGTAGTACCATGAATGTCCACAGATTACAGCCTGCAGTGATTCCATAGCTTCTTAGTCTTACCTTGCTGCTCTCTGAGGAACTGCTCCAAAGAGAAAGGAGAGAGGCAGAGAGACCAAGGGAGAGAAAGTGTGGTGTGCAGGGTTAGTCGCACAGAGAAGAAGGCAGTGCCACAAACCAGTCATTCCCTTCCCCACTCCCCGTATCACACATGCAGACGAGAACGCAGCTCAGCTGCATTGCGACAAGTAGCCCAGACCGACCTCCCATGATGACCAACATTCGTTCAGTTGTGCTCCCAACTCCTATTCATTTGCTTAGAAATATGATAAGGAATTGCAGTAATAGGTGTGATTTTTGAGGGGTTTGGTTTTATTTTTTAGGATCCTATTTTCTGCATCTTGTTCATCCTGCCTTGTACTTTCCTTGGGTACCTGATCCTTTTGCATAAGTTTTAATAGTAGCAGCAGTAGCAGCCATACCCACTGAGCCTTCTGCTCTGGGTAACTTGCGTAGATCAGTGTGTGCTCTCCAGCCAGAAAAGCCCACCTTCAACATGCTAAGGCCTTCCTTTGGGTCACATGAGTCTATATATGTGTACACGTGTGTGTGCTCCTTTTTATAAAGACAGCAGAGGTAGCAGAAAGACACTAAGGTTGATATTAAAAATATACCATTGGCACATTGTTTTAAAAAATAAGTGGCGCAATGAAATGAACTGTGTAATTTATATTTTTAACCTAATTGCATATATTATACACCTACAAATGATTGGAAGTACATTTACTTCTGTTTCTGGGAGAGAGGAAAAATATTTTTTCTTTTTGTTTCTGGGAGAGAGGAAAAATATTTTTTTTCTTTGTCTTTTTTTTTTTTTTTCCTTTTTATCGGTACCAGGGATCGAACTCGCGACTGCCTGCTTGCAAGGCAGGCGCTTATGCCACTTTGAGACGGGCTCTCACCATGCAGTTCAGGCTGCCCTTGAACTCACTTTGTAGCCCAGGTTGGTTCTGAACTTGCAACAATCCTCCTGCCTCAGCCTCTTGAGTACTGGGATTACAGGCATGTGCCACCATGCCTGGCTAAGAGAGAAAAAGTATTTAGAGATCACATTAAGATGGAAACCAGTTTTTCCTTCTATCTGTGTGTTTCTGAAATGCCTGCATTTTTGCAACAGTCACATATGTTTTATAACTTTTTATAACTAAATGCTTGGGAGAGGAGTCAGGGCTCTAATAATTGCTCCATGAATACTTGTGAGTTATAGGTTTGATGATGCATATTCACACACAGGGTATGCATGTATGTACTATACCTTACCCACAAATCTGAATGTTATGCATAGGTACAGTGTACATGTCATGTTGTGGTATGTGATGTGTTATGGTTTGTGTTCAGAAGCCCCCCACCAAGCCTCATGCAATCATGGACATGGCTGAATCTAGGGTTTGTGATAGGTTTGTTGTCTAGTGCTGGGATTGGCAATGTGAGTGCTGCCCTTGCCCAGGGGTGGAGCTGGCATACAGTGTAAGGGTGAGAAGAAGGCTGTCTTTTCTCTTTTGCACTGTTCACACCTGATGTTTGCAGTAGACAGGAACAGCTGCCCCACCACATCATCCGCCTTGGAACCAACTGGTTATAGACTGAAACCTCCAAGAACTGTAAGAAATAAAGCTTCCCTTGCTTCACTTTGGGCGCCAGGTATTTTGTGTCAACAACGAGAGAAAAGTAACTAAGACAGATGTGCACATTAATAGTATGCGTGTACACTCACAAAGTTATTTTTCACTTATCCATCACTAAATTCTATGAAAATACATGAAAGTTTATTGAAAGAGCGTATTTTCTCTTGGAGCCTCCTAAAGTAACTTGTCTACAACAAGACACCTGATATTTTTCCATAGTTGAAATAATGCTATGTTTTACTTTGTGTGTATCATGTTCCACTAACACAACAGATAATGGAACCAGAAACTTTTCCACCAGAGTATATTCTGACCAGAAAAATCCCTCAGAAAGACTTAAGGTGGCATTTTATTTATTTGATCACACTATGGATTTTGGATATATATATCCCAAATTCTTATCTCTGAACCTTTATCCAACAGTTTCTTCAAAACTCTGTTACTTTTACTATAGCACAATTCACAAGAATCAAGATATAGAACCAGCCTAGGTGTCCACCAGTGAATGAACAGATAAAGGAAATCTGAAATATACTATAGACACAATGCAACAGTATTCAGTCATAAAGAAAACACAAGTATGTCTTCTGCCAGCAAATGGATAGAACTGGAGATCATTACATCAAGTGAGCTAAGCCAGGATCACAGTGCGCTGGAGCAGAGGGCTCCCCTGAGCTACCTCAAATCCATCAGACTCAGGCACTACAAACCATTATCTGCTCTTTCCACAGGAGGACTACAACCAGCTGAGGCCACTGTCCTACCCCAACACCGATGTGTTTTTGATCTGCTTCTCCGTCGTAAATCCTGCCTCTTACCACAACGTCCAGGAAGAATGGGTCCCAGAGCTGAAGGACTGCATGCCTCATGTGCCTTATGTCCTCATAGGGACGCAGGTTAAAGTGTGGGTGATTGGGGGAGGAGGGCTGCAAAGAAGCAGGCACCTCACAAACCTCATAGTCCACCAAATACGATGGAAGGGTCTCAAACACAGTACTCCTGTGAGTGGACATCCTCAAATGTTCATGATTATTTAGCCCATAGTTGAAAAAATAATAGAACTATTTAATGTGGAGCAGAAAATTTGGATATGGCCCACAGAACTAATCTCAAAAATATCTTTTCCAAATTAATGGTCTTCACCAGCAGTGCTGAGTCAGTAATGAAGGGATGGTGTCAATTGTACATATTATCTAATATTTTGTAGATAAAATTCACAGTTATTTTAAAAATCACAAAATAGTTGAGTGTCAAAATGACCCCAGCAACTGAATGGGCATATTATGGCAGGACTCCTTAATAGCACCACAAGAGAAGAAAGACAGAACTGCACCACTTTATTCTCCCTAAATCCCTTGATCTTTAAGAGCTTATAAAAGAAGTTAAAACTTATACACAAGATAAACTCCTATTGGAAAGGCCCTTAAGGTGTTTCGAAAGCTAATTTCATTGGTTGAATTTCCAGCAGTAAGCCAGTTGCACAAATACATTAAAGATCATCCTGCCTTTGTGGTCTTAAATGGATTTTGTTCTTAGCTTTTTTTAAAATCCAAATTACTATTCCAGGAACAATGAAGGGATTTATAGTGATCCGTTCCATATGCTGTTTCTTTATTTTTCTTATTTGATATTCTTCTTGACAAATGAAATTTTTAAAAATCATCAGGGAAAGAAAAATATTTTCTAAAGAAGATGTAGATATTTACAGCGTCTATGTATTCACTCAGAGAGAGACAAAGTAGATTCATACAGCCATAAATCAGAATATGATTAATGCTTCTGCTCTGAAAGATAATTAGCTATTTGTTTAAATGAAGTCTATCACCTTCATTCCAGATGATAATATTTATCCATATCAATGGCAGATCTCTGCTGCCAAAATATGTACTAGGACTCTCAAACACATTAGTGTAACTCGAGTCTGTTTTTCAACCAATTGGCATTAAGTTGTACAATTAAGTTCCCCCCCAAAAAAAATCCCACCCTGTAGTAGACCTGAGTACTATGCCTATCAATGGGACCTAACATGTGAATATATTTTTTTCTTAAGACACAAGTCCTAAGTGCTCACATTCAGGTCCCATACATAGTGCCATTTTAAAGAAATCTAATATTAAATTCTCAAACCTAATGCTAACTTTCCAAAGCTTACTTTCAAATCAGCTCTACCTTTCAAAAATTAATGTTTATTTATTAAGCAAACCCTTTGGAAGCCCCTCTTTGGGCTTGCCTTCCCGAGCCTTCAGTGCATTTGTTAACATAGTCTTACAGGTAAGGAGAAGTTCTGATTTGAAAAAGTAAAACAGAATGAACCAAGCAAACAAAAAAGGAGTATCCAGGTACAGGAAATAAGCATTAGATAATGAGTAATACTATTGTATAATATAATTTGGAATCAAATAAGTCACTGCTGCAAGATAACATGAATGTCTAATCTTGTAATGCCCTACCAGTGAAATCTAGAAATCAAAAATTCCAAAACACCAGAATCATTAAAGGAAGTCTTCAGCACACAGGGGGATTGCTTCAAAGGAGAAATACAAGGACCTCCTTGTGTGTCCATATACAAAGGAATCACTTGACAATCTTAGACATAACACGGACACGTGTGTGTGTGTGTGTGTGTGTGTGTGTGCACTCTCATAAGATTCATCCACTTCCAAGATGTCCAAGAGAAAAGAAACTCTATTAGACTACAGTTTAAAATAACTGAGAAAGCTTGAAAAATTAAGTAAGTTGGTCACATGTGTGTTTTTTGCTAGATTGTTGGTCACATGTGTGTTTTTTGCTAGATTGATCTCCGCGATGACCCCAAAACGTTGGCCCGTCTGCTGTATATGAAAGAGAAACCTCTCACTTACGAGCATGGCGTGAAGCTTGCAAAAGCGGTATGTCAGGTTTGAAATCAATTTTAAATGTATGCTGAGTGAAGAGTTTGCTGTGTGCTTTGGCATTGGGTGAGCTGAATAGTTTTGCTCTGAGTTGCGGTGTGTTCAGAATCTGTTGCTTTCTACTCACCACTGTGCCCAAGCTAGGCTGGAAGGGGCCATTTGATTAGCGTTCTAGTCAGTTGGCACTGTCTATTTATCATTGGGAAAAAACTTAGTGGATTTAAACAGCTGGAGCTAAGTAGCTGCTGGTTTAGCAAGCTCAGAACACCTCCTTGCTGTATATAGCACAAATTAAAGGGAGGCTTAGATGTGTATTTGTAAATCTCACTGCCTATGAGCACAGTAACTCATTTAAAGGACCCTGTGTGTCGCATTTTGTGATTTTCTTGAGAGAGACTTAGATTAGCATCTGGTAGGCTTTTGTGTGCTCAGTATTTCTCATCATATAACGAACAGCCGCTCATAGGCTACCTGTTACGTGCAGCACATGGAAACATACACTCAAATAGGTGCCTTTAAAATTCTTGTTTTGCTTTCTAAGTGACTAGCCCTGCAAAACGCAAGCTCCAGGCAGTCAGAGTAGCTCTATGTCAGTCAAGAAACATAACAACTACAGAGTCTTCACAAACAAAGATATATGTGTTTTTCTTATTAAAACCTGATTGTGGGCACAAAAATAAGTATGGGGCACTCAGCTAGAGATGAATTAAGTCAGGTTTTGGTTCCATGAGTGCAGTGCGAGGCTGGGCATGGTGTGGCATGCTGAGACAGGAAGATCACAAATTCAAGGGCAACCGAGGCAAGTTAGAGAGACCCAGGCTCAAAATAAAATTAAAAAGGTTGGAGAGGTAGCTCAGCATTCTCTGGGCACAATTCCAGATACAGAAATTATTTCTAGTCCAGCTCTGTGGACTCTCTCATCATTCTATAAACTGTCTCTTTTCCAGCCACGTCTTTTTCTTCCAGGAGAATGAGAATGCGTCTCTGGGTCCTTCTGCCTTCTCAGACACTCAGCCCAAGGGCTCTCATTAACACACATTAATACCTGGCTCCATAGATAACAGTGCACTTCCCCCAGGAGCTCCTGGCGGGCTCAGCCACGGCTCCCTGCAGGACCTGGTCTCACTGTTCCCCGCTTCTGGGCCTGTCTCCCACCTTGTTCTGTCAGGTGGGAAGTTGGATTTGGTTTTATCTTCTTCTTCTTCTTCTTCTTCTTCTTCTTCTTCTTCTTCTTCTTCTTCTTCTTCTTCTTCTTCTTCTTTACCCTTCTAAAAAGAAATTGCTCCAAAGCCTCCCATCTCATTTCAGACTTATTTTGGGAACAATGGCTGAGTTCACCACTTTATTGCCTTTTGCCAGTTTCTCCTAGCAACTGCTCTCAGATACAAAAAGAATCGTGTTTGGCTTACAAAATCCAATTTAGAAGAAAACCAAGCAAGATTGTAACTGGTTTCTTCACAGTTCATGTAATTACAGAGATGCCTGAAGTTCCCTACTCTTCCACTTCCCTGTCAAGTAGTTTATAATAACAGGTGGCATTTATGGAGCGTTTACAGAGCCCTGAGCCAAGTGCTTTACATGCATCATCTTAATTAATCCTCACAGCCGCCCCCTGAGCTGTGTATAGTATTATCACTGCTCTCCGAGGGGAAACTGAGGCTCAGAGAGGTTAAGGTCACGCTGCTCAATAGTAGCAGAGCTAGGATGTGATAAACACCGAGCTCTTCTGCCCCCAGCTATAATCTGAAAAAAAAACCCTTAGGTTTGAAGCTTTTTTTAATATCCTGAAGGTCACATTTTAATGTGCACGTTCTCCCCAAAACTTCAGTGCTTTGCAGACTCAGAGTTCTCACATCCGCTCTTCTCTATTAAATGCTTCCCAGTCTCCAATGGGTTTTTCATCCATCTTTTCTTTTTGGTTTCACATACATAGTTGCATAATTCTTTACATTCAAAAGGCACATTTACACAAATGTCTTGTATCAATTTATCATACGTATTCTTTGTTTTCTCTCACTTATTATTCCTCTCACATATTGTGCTTTTAATTACCCACCCACACATCTGTAAACAGCCACACTACCACGAGATTTATTAAACACCTACCCTGGGCCAGGTGTTCATTCCTTTGTGTGTTCTTCTCAACTCCATCTGGCACAACTGCAACATGATTGCTAAGTGCAGGCTTCCTAAGACACTTTCAGATACGACACTCTCCTACTTCACTGTTGTTCACATTTTACTCTCGCTTGTCATCTTCTTCACCAGGTGACTTTCGTTGTGTCACCCTTTCCCTTAGCACCCTTTTTCTGCCAGGTTTTCACCATACAAAAGAGGGATCTAAAGCAACAAAACCCAGTAACCAGTGTTCCATTAACGCCGATCACCAGAAGTCTGAATCTCCTCTTGAATGATGGAGCCACAGGACCCGTTATTTCCCCTTCCCAGGCTGTGGAAGGCCAACACCCCACCATTCACATCGGGGTTACAGAGGCTCGTATGCAAGGGGAGGAGGCGGATAAGCAAACAGATGTGCTGAGCTGTGGGGCCCATTTCAGAGGCTACAATCCCACTAACAGAGGAAAATGTGACAGACACATTTGGAGTAGGATGGCTCAGAGAAGATTACTTGAAGCAGTTGACATCAGGGCCAGGTATTATCAAAGAGGAGAATAAGTTTTTCAGGTGGACAGAGTTCGTGGACAGGGTATAAAGACTCCAGGCAGAGAGGCCAGTATGTTCAAAAGCATCCTTTAAAACACAGGAATGATGGGCCAGATTATGCCCGCAAATATTTTGTCCAGTCTACACCAGTATTTTTTATGAAAGTTAGTGGCCAACTTTTAGCATTTTGGAAGCTTTGAACAAATATATATATGGTGCCTCTGGCTTCTGAGGAATTTCCGCAACCCTAGGCGAGAATTTCCTCACCTAAAACTTTCAGTCTTTTAGACAAAGGTGCGTACCCTGAAGCCTGCCCCAGTTCTGCCATTTATACCATCCTATATCTGAGCAGGGCATTCACATCATCTACCCTGGAGCGAGCATCCTTAGAGTCCTGAAAAAAACATCAAACCAGGAACGCTCCTCCTCTTCCAGCAGTTGGTGGATGCTGATTGGTTGAAGCAGCATTACTCTCACAGTTTCTTTCCTTTGGATTCTTGTTCCCTTTCTTGGCTGTCTGTCTGCTCTAATCTCGAATCAGGAATAAAACCTCTGCCGTTACTTTAGATCCCACCTGACCCCTCTGATCCCTGCTCCTCCATTCATTGTGGGGAATGCCCCCCTTCTCTCTCTTTCCCTCTGTCTGCAACACTTCTCTCTTTGACTCATTAGGGTTTTATATCTTTTAGGGTTCTTTTTGTTTTTGTTTTTGTTTTTATGTCTCTCAATCTCAATTTCTTTCTGTTGCTGGGGACAGCAAAGCAGAGTGATTGAGACTGTGGCTCAAGAGATGGACAAATTCTAATATCAGCTGTGTTCTTAGGTGTGTGGCCTCAGATGGTTTTCTTAACTTCTCTGGGCATCAGTTCCCTGAGCTATAACATGAGGATAGTGATAAACTGGTCCTCGTAAAGTTGCTATGGTGACGAGATGAGCTGCCGTACAAAGTCTAGTCAGCAAACCGCAGTGAAATCGATGCTATCCTCAGACATGACTGGCTGGAAAGACTTCTCTGCTGTCATTCCTGCCCATTGCTTTTTGTCTTATTGTATAAAATGTCCCCCTGCCACCAGGACAACCTGGAAGAACTACATTGTGTTTTACTGGCTTGTCCCTGTGAGTTTATTTGTATGTCAGACTCTTACATTGCTGTGCATCTGTGGCATATCTCCCAGCTTTTGAAACAGTAAGTCTTAGCTATTGTAAAATTATCAGAAAGTGCTCTCTCTATTTATATCCTCCCTTTCCTTGAAATACATCAGCTTGGTAAGGCGTGTTACTGATTGCTAGCCTATGTGTCCAAACAAGGATCTTCAGAATCCTGCACTCTCACTGATGGATTGGCAATATTGACTGAGGAGATCGTTTTGCTCCAACAGGCAGAAGAAGCTGCTGCTGAAAAAAAACAGCTGTATTTCTCTGAGACAATTTTCCATTTCACATTATTAAGGAAACAAATGATTTCTTCAGCAGTCCCTCCAGCATGGCTGTGCCTTTTCCCTGAACCGGAATGAATTCTTCTTTCTGACCTCAGAGCCCTTGAAACACAGTAACAATACTCATCATAACTGGGTTCTCTTTCCCACACTCCTTCCCACTCACACCCAAAAGCTGTTGGTGAATTTTCCTGGAACGATCAACACAAGGCACAATGTTTTGTTAACCTTCTTATACAATGATCGCTTTATCTGCCGTTTCATTATCTTCAGTAATGTCAGAATCAGGGGAGACAAGTTTAGACTCCTTCTGCATCATCAAAAACCAAGCTCTCATGCCCCATCTGCAGTGCTGGGAGCAGGAGGAGAAGAGAGACCCTCCCATCTTGCTGGGGCGAGGGGGCAGTGGCCCGTGTGAACACAATTTGGCCCAGCTCTTCTGGAATCTCCAGAATCTGTCTGAGGCTTGTGATCATCATTCTGGGGGTTTCCCAGATAGAAGGGGAGAAGGGTCCCACAGCAGCCTATAGGTTTCCTAGCATGAGTGTTAAAAGCTGGCACATTACAAGTCTTTCAGCTGGACCTACTGTTAAATTAATGTGCTTTTCTACATGTGCTCATATCCGACATAGACACAGTCTCCAAATGCGACAATGACATTATTAGGAAAACTCTCTCTGCCCTTTATTCCTCTCTAAGAACAGAATCCTACTATTTTTTGGTTGCACCTAGACTTTATTCTCTTCTGATTATTATTTATCCCTTTCTGATTATTTTTTAAAGTTATTTCTTAGCCCAAAGACCAACCATGATCAAAATGACAAAAAGGTTTTCAACATCCATCAGTGGTTTTGATACCATGAGTTTGGTATTTCTCTTTGCCTCATACAGGAACCA